TTCTTTTAGCCTGTATATGTTGGCATGATAACTTCTCTAAGAGTAAATAATAATTCTTTTTTAGTCTCTATTAGACAGGGTTCTCTGGAGTAACAGAAGTGACGGGGCAATTATGTATCATAGAAGGTTTGTCAGACCAGCTTACACACTAAGAATTATATTGTTGAACATTAACTATCTATACACTGGAAAGGCTGAGAATTTAGTACCTGCTCATTTGTAAATCTGGATGCATCAGTAATCTTAAGCCTGGAAAGCCATTTATCTTTAGTCCACACTGGAAGGCAAATGCTAACTTGGTACCATGTCAGCAAGGATGGCAGCTGCATACAGCAGAGTCCATTCACTCACCAGCGAGGAGCAATGGTGTTTAAACAACTGTACCTGGGATTTTCCCCTCAGAATACTTTCCATCTGGACCATGGCTGGAGTGATCAGATCTCTAATACCTTCCAGATCCAATCATTATTAATCAATGTATAATTCAAAGGTTGTTTTTTTTGTCAAAATTTGCTATATTATTTTATTTGTATGTGCGGTGTCAGGGAGGCCCTAGGACTATGGCACACATATGGAGGTCGGGCAACTTGAGGAGTCAGTTCTTTCTTCCACAGAACAGGTCCTGAGGATGTGGTCACAACTCAGGGTATCAGACACCTTAACCTGCAGAGATTTCTCACTGCAGCTGCCTGGCAAGTTTGAATGTCCATTCAGAACACCCATACTTATTACAGTTTCCAAAACTCTGGTGTTTTATTCAGAATTTTAGGGTTGTTAAGCTTGAGGATAGATCTTATAGAAGCTTATTCTCACTCTAAAATGCACAAAATTCATATTCAATAACTTTTAAGATAACTAAAATGACAATATAATAACCCTCTCTGAATGATAAATATTTTAAGACATTCTATCAGATGAATTGAAATACATTTTGACAAGGAACAATAGCTTCCATTCCTTCCTGAAACTCTCATCTATGTATCAGTCCTTTTTAATGTGGTATTTGATTTCTGTGAATGTATTAAGAAAGCACAGGACCAGAATTTTCAGGTCATTTGTCCTTATGCATCTCGTCAGGGAGGAGATTTCAGCTTGATTGCCTCTGAAGCACAGCTCATTCACATTTAATTGTCTTAAGAAGAAGACCCTTCTGACATTAATCCACAAAGCTGAGTGTGTCATTTGTAAGGGAAGCCAACTCTGAAGCTGACATTTCTTTTGTATCAATGAGATCTCAGCAGCAGATGAACCACAAATGGCAAATTATGCAAAGTAAAAGTTTAATTTTGAGGGAAGCTTCAGGTGGGTATTTCTGTTTGATTAATAATCTATAAGGAGATAACAGCTAACTAAAATTTGCACAAAATCATAACCACTGTTGAAAAACTCTTGCCATGAACAAATGACATCCATTGAATGCCCCTCCCTCATCATCTGCGCTAGCCAGCTAGCATAGTCAGCTCCCAGATGAATTAGCTTTTGCAGAATTAATGGACAGAGAGTTGAGAAACAATAAAAGCTTTATTTTAACTATGCTATTTATACCCAGCTTGGGCATTTATCTTTTCCAAATGCTTTATAGGTCTTTATGAGGCTGAAATTATTTTTCAGTTTTGTTCCAGTTACATATGCAAAAGACAAAACAATCAGAATCATCAAACTCTGGCTGAGACTTTCTATGAGAGTTATAATTTTTCAAGAAACCAACTTAATGTATTCAGGAGAATTGATATCAGAATTTTTTCAAGTAAATGATTCTCAATTTTTCTAAAATTTTGGTTTCAAAATATTATCCAGTTTTACTAAGATTGGGATTGGGATGTTTCTCAGGTGGTAGAGAACTTGCTTAGCATAAGAAGCCTCATGTTGAATAAGCAGCATGGCATATATGAGTGTGAATATAGGAGCCTGAGTGTTAGCTCTCCATAGTGAAGCCAAGGGCATTAGAATTTCAAGGTCATCCTTGGCTTTATAATGAGTTATTGTTTGAAGGCTGATGGCCTGGGATTTATGAAAATTTGTTCCAAGAAGTAAAAAAAAACAAGCAATAAGGAACAGAAAGACAAAAAGATAACTTTTCCAGACTTGAATCTTTTGGAGGTATAATGAGTTTTTAAGAAAACACAACTTTTTCTATAGTAGCAACATGAACACCAACTACTCAAGTGTAAACAAATAACTGGAACTCTGCCTTGCACATTAAATGCTCTCAAGTATTGGATATAATATTTTGAATTCTAATGTGAACAGATACTTCAGTCCATGATCATCTTGTCTCAAATGAAGCTGATCTCATCTGATTGCGGAAGCAAAGCAGTGCTGGAGCTGGTTAGTACTTTGGATGAGACAAATACTTTAAACATATTGCTAGTAATGCTGATTGTACCTTGAAAAGGCCATTTGGTCAAATGTCTACCCATTAAAAAGAATGGAAGAAAGAGAGGATTGATTATTTGCCCTGATAAGCATTAGAAGGTTATGTAGTTGTGAGTTTTTAAAAGTTGTACAACACTCATAAACCATGCAGAGTCAAGTCTCTCTTCCTTCAATTGCAGCATTAAAAATGTTGTGTATAATGAGAAAAGGTGATGGTGAAAGGCTCAGCCCTTAGTGTAAAACATTTAGCTCCCTTTCCAGGGAACAGGGAGCATTGAGGAAAAGAGGTAAGAAAAAATATATAAGCAGAGGGTGGTGAGTTATGCAATAAAAAGATGTTTTTAGGACATGTCATGAAGTCATCTGCATAAAACATTCACAATATTTGACCCTACAACATTTCAGCATGGATAGGGAAGGGACCATGAAACCTCACCCCCTCTCTGAGAGTAAATCAGCAACTAATGCTTATTGGGAAGGGACATTTTTTTTTCTTTGGTGGTGTTACCACTGATAGATTTTTTTTTTTTTGCTCTAAATAATTCCCTCTCACCTGTGCTAAAGGTAGAACTCCATGAAATGCAATTAGCCATACACAGACAGATATGAAAGTAGGGGAAGAGAAGGAGCTGTTGAAAAGAAGGCTTCCATCAAGAGAAGAGAAGGTTGGCAGATGGGATTTGGGGAGTGAAATGCCTAAAATGTATTGTATACATGCATGAAACTGTTCAACAATAAAGTGATTAAAAGTACATGAGAATATTTATTTCACAATACAATATTTATATTTTTATTTTATAAACCATTATAAAAAGCTTTGCAAAAAATCATACACCCGAATTAAGCAGACACAAAATCTACACAACTCAGTGAATTTCTATGCAGTCAGAATAGGTATTTGGAAGAGAAGTTACAGAGCTTCACATTAAATTTTACACTTTCAGTATTGAATTAGTAAAGTGCAGAAAACTGTTTTAAATCACCTCTAAGGTTCATGTTTCCTCTAAAAACTTACTTCTAGAAATAATATCTTTGAATAGGAGCAGGAGTGTGATAGTTGTCATACAAATAAACGTTTATCTGGCAACAGGTCAGGGCTGTAAGCAATGTGGTTCTCATGGACAAGTTAACCTACATATGTTTTGTACATGTGTGTGCACATTATATGTGTGTGTATATGTGTGCATATGTCTGTGGAGTTGCACATGAGCATGTATGCTTTGCATGTAGAAACCTTATCCTTTGTTACTCTCATCTTATTATTTTGAGCAATGAACACAAAGCTTGCGGATTAGAGCAAACTGGCTGGCCCACCACATAGTTCTCTTGTCTCTTTCTCTCTGCACCAGTGGTGTCACAGGTCTGTACCAATACACCTTGCTTCTAGGGTTCTAGGGATGAAATTCAGGTCTTCATACTTGTATCGCCCCCAGCTTAACAACTGAACCACCGCCTCAGTTCTTGCATGTTTAGAGAAGTTAGGAAAGCCTTAGCTAAGGTCTTCATTCTGAGAGGTGACTGTTCTTAACAGCAACAAAGCTAAACTTGTAAAATATAGCTCTCCAAGGAATGCGTTCATTTTATAAAATGAAAGCCATTTTAGAACCTATATTTATGATGACCTTATATTAAAATTTAAATCATTACCAAATTCATTTATATTTTATATTTTCTATCTTTACTTGACCATCAGGGGACAAAAAAAATTCATCAGCATCCTGATTAAGTCATTAAATCTTTTGCTTCCTTGCTTTCATTTTGATCTTTTCTTCCATGGAAAATTGCTTATCTTGTAATGCTGAGATTGTATGAATGAAACAATAATTTTCCTCTTAAGCAATACTCTATGCAAGAAAAATACATATCTATCAGTAAGATAGATGTCAGCTTGTTCTCCCATGAGTCACAAGTAGCACAGCCTGGGGACATGCACTGTAGAGCTCCAGAGCTTAACAAATGGCTTTAACCAGATCCTTGGTGATACATTCTGAACACTAAAGAAAGCTGGGAATCACTGATTTGAAGTATATTCCACGCTATTTCACTAGAAATAAATGTGTAATTTATATCCCAGTAGATTTTGGGTAAAAGATTCAACAGAGTTGAATATTGCTAAGATTTTGATATTCATTGGCATTCTGTGCTCAGAAATTAATATATTTATTATTATAATGTATAAGAGTCATCCTTTTATCTAGAACAGTGATTCTCAACCTTTTCCAATGATGTGACCATACAATACAGTTAAGTCATATTGTGGTGACCCCAAACATAAAATTACTTTGCTGCTTTTTGTAACTTTAATTTTTCACTGTTATGAATTATAATGTAAATAACTGATATACATAATATCTGATATGAGTCCCCCAATGGGTCGTGACCGACAGGTTGAGAGTAGTTAATCTAAATCAATTTGTTAGTTATTAATCATTCCAACTTTCTGCTGTTACCTTAATAAACCACCTTGAGAGGCTACCATGGCCCCCGAGAGGGGCTGAAGCTTAGTTCCTGGTGCAGGTGAGATCCCGCCCGAGAAAAGAAAGAAAAGGACATCAGTGAGGTAGCCTCCGAGAACAGGAGGGACCAGAGCTTGAGCTGGAGACCAATTCAGTCAGGACCACGAGATGCAGGTGCTGAAGCAGCTGGGTTCTGTCCAGTCCAAGAAGCGACTGGAGCATGGAGCACTGTCTATCTCAGTGCCCCTTGGAGACTTCAGGCACACATTGCATGTGGGGCGCGGTGGCGACGCCTTCGGGGACACCTCGTTCCTGAGTCGCCACGGGGGCGACCCACCCCCTGAGCCCCACACCCCACCAGTCGGGGCCCCGCATTCTATCCCTCCACCTGCAGTTCCACAGCCCCCTGCACCTGGTCTCCGAGTGCCTTCACCTGCGGACCCGCTGTTGTCCTTTCACCTGGACCTGGGCTCCTCTATGCTAGACGCGGTGCTAGGCGTCATGGACGCCGAGCCTGCGGAAGCAACAGCCACCAAGCCTGTCGGGGACACCCACCCTGGAAGGCAGCACCAAAAGGCTCGCTGCCGCTCCAATGCTGACCTCCCACTGGACGACGTCATAGGCCTGTAGTGTCCTGATTCCTGCACCTTCTCGGTCCCGCCCAATAACCCACTTTTGTACATATAAATGGCTGAGGTTTGTGCCAAAAATAAATAAATAAATAAATAAATAAATAAATAAACAAACCACCTTGACCTAAAGCAACTTAGGGGATGAAGGAGTTTGTTTTCTCTTACAATTCAGTGAACTCGAGACAGGAAGCTGAAGGCAGGTCAGTTGACTATCCCATAACAATACCTTCAACCAAAGAATTTACTGGATGTGTTATTCACCTCTGCATGCCGTGAATATGTTTTATTACTATTGGTTAATAAAGAAGCTGCTTTGGTCTATAGCAGGCAGAATATAGCCAGACTGGAAGAGATTTAGAGAGAGAATTAAGTAGAATCAGAGAGACGCCATGTAGCTGCCAAAGAAGATAGATGCCCAGAATGTTTCCCGGTAAACCACAATCTTGTGATGATACACAGATTAATAGAAATGGGTTAATTTAAGATGTAAGAGGTAGCTGGGAAGACGCATAAGCCACTGGCCAAACAGTGTTGCAATTAATATAGTTTCTGTGATTATTTGGGTCTGGGTGGCCGGGAACAAACAGTCTCTGTTTATATCTATGCATAGCCAAGGAAGTACAACAGGAAATCATGTAGGGTGCTGCTTGCTGGCTGGTTGGCTGGCTGGCTCCCTCCCAAGTTATTTACTGATACCAGCCTTCTTTGCTATCACAGGACTGCCTGCCCAAGAAGTGGCATGGCCCAAAGTGACCTGAACTTTTGCATTACCTAAGTTAATCAAGACTGTCCCTTACAGACATGTCCACAGACTCACATGATAAAGACAATACTTAATTGTGATACCTTTCAGGTGAATCTTGACTGTGTCAAGTTTACAGCTAATTCTATGTACGATACTAATCAATTAATCAAATAGTAACAATGCATGCAAAAATTTACATGCAAATTTTTCCATCTTGCAATTGACTATATTCTTTTACAGTAACATAAAGAAGTCAGTGTCTGATCCAAAATTCTGTGGTCAAGGTAGAACTTGACATCTTACATTTTCTCCAGTTCATCACAACAGTACCATATTGTGTAAATAATAAACTCACCAAACAAAAGATCCAACTTAAGCTCTGAGAATGGAAGCAACCAGAAAACCATAGAAATAGTTTGTTTTCTCAGCTTTCTAGGCTGTTCTCAGAGTCCAAATATGCAAGTGAAATAGAATGCTGATCTTGTGCCTGTATAATCTTTAAGCATTGCAAAGCTTGATGGGAGAAGTTGATCTCAACCTCCCCTTAGCTTTGTCTTTGTGTTTTTAGACAGCTCTGACTGTATGAGACTAAGTATAGATAGAGGACAGGCAGTAAAGAATCGTTTGCCCTTGCTCTGTGCAAAGTGGGTGTTTTGTGTTCTATATGTAAATATATGTACAAGAGTGTGTGTGCATGCATAGAGGCTGGAGGTTGGTGTTTGGTGCCTTCCATGATCACTCTCTACCTTCCACATTGAGGGGTCCATCTCTCACTTTTACCCAGAGCTAACTAACTCAGCTAGTCCATCTATCAAGAATGTCCTAAGGGATACCATCTCTGCCTTCCAAACACAGGGGACATAGATGGGCCAGCATGACACAGTATTTACTTTTCTAGGGATCCTCATAACTGCATGGCAAATGCTTTGGTTCCTATTTTTAAGGTTCATTTTATATACACTAAGTCTTATTTTTTTCCATTCAAATATTTACACTTCCTTCTCTCCTCCCAATCCTCTCCCACTCCCCCACACCCCCTCCTCCTTCTCCCACCCTGCTTGAGAGAGATCAGGGAACCCTGCCCTGTGGGAAGTCCAAGGCCCTCCCCCTACATCTTGGCCTAGGAAGCTGTGCATCTATATAGACTAGGGTCCTCTTAGTCATGAGAACTAAGAGAACATGCTGTAAGAACAAGTCCCAGTGCCTTCATCAATGGCTTCTCAGTCAGCCCCCATTGTCAGTCACAATCAGAGAGTCTGATTTGATCACATGCTCATTCAGGCCTGGTCCAGCTGTATTTGGTGAACTCCCATTAGAATAGGCACACTGCCTCAGTTGGTGGACCAACCCCTCGCGGTCCTGACTTCCTTGCTCATCTTCTCCCTCTTTCTGCCTTTCAACTGGATCTTGGGAGCTCAGTCCATTGCTCTGATGAGGGTCTCTGTCTCTATCTCCATCTGTCACCAGAGGAAGATTCTATGGTGATATTCGAGATAATCATCAGTGTGATAGTGGGGCAAGGACAGTTCAGGCACCCTCTCCTCTGCTGTCTAAGGACCTAGCTGGGGACATCTTATTTTTTAATGAGTTTTAGAACAGTGTTTTTTTTTTTTATCAAAATTTGAGTGTGGGAACCAATTTGATCCACTTCTGAGATACAGATAAATGGGAAATATATTCATCTTCAAGGTAAAGATTATCCGTGGTGAATTTTTAAATGAGGGATCACATATGAAGTAACAATCTCTGCAGAGCACATCCTTGGTTCAGAGTGCTTTATTCAAAACCTACAGATAAGTGAACCCCAAGATGTTTGCTCCATCAGGAAGACAGGAATCCCACTAAAGCCCAAACATATACATGCATTATAAATACTCCTCTTATTAAAGGAGAAGAATGCATCTTAGATGAATGGAGAAATATCAAAATGAAGACTAGGTCACCCTGGATGAATTTCCCTTCTGGAGATTTTATCTGCAAACACTAACTTTGGAGACAGTCCCATCTTCCAAAATATACAGAGTCCATCTTGAGCAAATAGGACCACTGTGAGTTGGTGGCAGGTTGTAAGGTGAATGACTTATTACTTACTTATCTTTTTGCTATGACAAAATACCTGATTGAAGCAAATAGAGTAAGGAAGGTCCAACATGATGGGAACACCTTGTTGGCAGGAGCTTGAGTCAGCTCATCATACCGTGTTCATAATCAGGAGGCCGAGCAAGATAAATGCAAGTGTTAACTCATCTTTCCCTTTTCATTCAGTATAGGACCTCAATCTGTGAGATGGTGCCCCCCCCCGATTTAGGGGGGACATTTTCTAGTTAATTAATTCAATCTAGACTCTCCACCAAAGACATATCTAGAGGGATGACTTGTTTGTGATTCTAGATCCTGTCAAGTTGACTATCAGTATTAATCACAACAAATGATGATCCCTGGTTGTCCAGGTCCCCTTCCTAAAATGGTGATATTCAACTCTGCTTTCTGTATCTTTTCCTCTAGTCTTCGCTGTTCAGTCCTCAGAAATCTTAGTAAAACAGTGAAACTATAGCTTATGAAGAAATTATCCGCTGCTGTCTTGAGGTCAAGTTGTCTTGGTCTGTATTGATGTCTCAGTTATTATTTTTTTGTAAGTATGAGGACCTGAGTTCCATTCTTTTGATCTATGTTTTTTTCTTTTTAAAATGGGTATGGTGGCATGTTCTTGTAATCCCAGTTCTTAAGGGATCTAGATAGGAGAATCTCTGGGGTTCATGGGCTAGCACACATGTTTATGACTGTCAGCACACATACACGCACACATGCACACACACACACACACACATGCAGAGAGAGAGTGGAGGGGGGAGAAGGAAGGGAGGAATGGAGGGAGGAAGAGAGGAAAAGAGGAAGGGAAAGGGAGAAAGCCTGACAGCCTTTCTCACATTTGATCTTTTGTAAAGCCACAAACCAGAAGACAATTTGCAGGGCTTGGTTCTTTCCTTCCACAGTGTGAGACCCTGGAAGCAAACTTAGTTAATCATGCTATCTGTCAAGTGATGAGACATTTTGCGAGCTCTTGTTTGATTTTTTTTGTACTCACTAAGTAGCTATTTCTTTCTTGCTGTATTATAAAACCTCTGCACAAAATATTTGTAGTAACCTAAGCCTCAAAATATCTAATTTCATTTGTTATATATAATAGAAAAAAGTCTTGGATCACTTCAGTTTATTATAAAAAATATTAATTGTTATTAACTTTTAGCAACATTTACTTTTTAATTTTAGAGTGTTTATTATAACTTAATAGATGACTTCATGGTCCACTCTTTTATAACCTACTGGTAAAGAAGAGTTAGATAGAGGGAATTCTGATCTCAAAATACAAGGTGAGACTGGCTTCATGACAATGAACTCAAAGAAAGATCTTTTTGTTCTTTTTTTTGTCAGAACTAGGTCATGAGGTATTTTTGGAAATCAAGCACTTGAGTAATCCAGGGAAAGAGCAAAGTTTGAGTGCACTAACCACATGTGATATCAAAAATTTTACAATTTATGGGTAATAAGAGGCATTGTATTTGCATTATTTTTCTCAATTTGAAGATATTAGCAAATTATTTTGCCTTAACTTTTCTGAGATCACACCTCTTCTGAGCAAGAATGTGAAAGTCCGTGTTTCTCTCTTTCTGAAGGAATCACAGCATGAGCAGCTGTGCCACCGCCCTCATCACACAGTCCTGGAGTGAGAGTAAAGCTTAAACAGAGGGCCCAAGGAGTCTTTGTCAAAGCTCTAATAGAAAACGAGCTGGCATGGTTATTCTGCATGTTATGTCACTTGCCGACAATCGAATTCTCAAATTATTGATTTAGAGCTTCTTTTAGTTTTTTGCATGTCTTTATTTAGCCTTTCAAAAGTAAAGTATTACTCTATATTTGCCTCATAATTTAAATAATTTTGCCTAAGAACTAAAATTTCTGATCTATCTTATTTTTATTTTTATTGAAAGTAAAATCCTAATTTTTGTAGAAAAAAAAAGTCTTACAATTCCAAAGGGGAACATCTAGTGCTAGATATTCACCTAGCTGATTTTAAGCAATGTTTCATTGGTATTTCTTTTGAATTTGCATAGCAAATAATGCTTTTCAAAGATTTATAATTTTTTCTAAAATTGGTGGTATATGTCTATAATTTTAGCACTCCAGGGTCTAAGACAGGAGGGTCATAGGTTCTAGGTCAATATGAGAAACATAGTAAGACATTACAAAAGTTAAAAATTATATTCAGTAACATCTCAAGAATTCTCTATTTAAATGAAAATATTAAACTTTA